AGAGGAGAGGAGAGGAGAGGAGAGGAGAGGAGAGGAGAGGAGAAATCCCAAGCATGGTGGGCCCCAGTTATAACTGCAGGACTTGAGATGCTGAGGCAGAAGAATTGCCATAAGGTGGACACCAGCCAGGTCAGCAGAGTACAAGCTTGTCAAGAAGGAAGAGGAGGAGGGAGGTGACTGAAGAAAAAGGGGAATGCTAGGGAGTGGTGTCTTAATCCCAGCACTCAGGAGGCAGAAGCAAGTGGATCTCTGTGAGCTTAAGGCCAGCCTGATCTACAGAGTGAGTTCCAGGACAACCAGGGCTACACAGAGAAATCCTACCTTGAAAAGACAAAAGAAAAAAAGAAAAGGAGGAAGAGAAAGGAGAACTCAGATTATGAGTTATCAGAGAAATGAAAGACTTTTTTTTTAGACAGGGTTTCTCTGTGTAGCCCTGGCTGTCCTGGAACTCACTCTGTAAACCAGGCTGGCCTCAAACTCAAGAGATCTGCCTGCCTCTGCCTCCTAAGTGCTGGGATTAAAGGCATGTGCCACCACCGCCCAGTGAAAGACTCTTGGTAATGGAAGGGATGATATGTTATGTGACCTCTATCCCAGGCAAGAATTAATGAGGTAAGGAAAGCTAGGGAGTTGCTGAGGTGTGAGGCAGTGGAGGGACCTGAACACTGATACTGAGGCTGCAGACACATACAGAGGCTACCTGTAGTAGAGAGATGGCAGCCCAGGGACCCAGCACAAGGGACCCTGAAAAGGACAGCATGTAGTGTGAACAGCAGTAAACTAGGGCTGTGAGTGAAGCTCAACCAGTACTTCCTACTGTGCACAAAGCCGGGATCTCCACTCCTAGCACTGAAAGAAAAAGCAGTAAATCAAGCGTTCTTAGACTACAGATCATTCCTAAAACCAAGATGATTTTTATGTTCCTGAAAAATGAAGAACCAGGAGGAGACTTTTAATACGTAATGAGTTCTTGGGGCTGGAAAAGGGCTCAGTAGACAAAGTGCTTGCCATACAAGCAGGAAGGGTGGGGTTCAGCTCTCCAACCAGAAGATCATAGCTGACCCAGAAGCAGATCAGATCAGATCAGACGAGCAGGTAGGACTCACCTCACCAGCAAGCTCCTGTTCAGTGAGAGACCCTGACTCAGTAAAGAACGTGGAGAAAAAAAATCAAGGAAGACACCTGATGTCAACCTATGACCTCCATACACACACACATGTACACGTTTGTATACACACATACATACAAACAAACAAGTCCACTCCCTATACACACCATATGCATATTTTTAAAAATTCTCAAACTGACTCGAGTTAACTTACCACTCCTCTAGAGGACCTAAATTTGATTCCCAGTATACATGTTAAACAGCTCATAGCTGGCTATTACTCAAGTTCCGAGGGACTTGAAGAGAGCTTCTGTCATCTGTGACACCCCACCCCCACATGCACACACACACATGACAGACATTCATCTAGCCACACACATGCACACACATGAAAATATATCAAAATTAAAAGCTAAACAATTGCTAGATGTATTGCTGCATGCTTTTAATCTCACACAGAGGAAGGCAGTCTGAGTTACACTATAGATTGAGTTCTAAGACAGCCTACATAGTTGACTGTGTCTCAAAAAAAAGATTAAAAACATTTTTAAAAAGAGTTCTTGTATATCAGAAAAAAGGAAAAGAGAAAGAAAGAAAGGAAGGAAGAAAGAAAATATAGAAATTTCAAAGTTAGGAAAACAAGGTAATTTGACATGTCAAAGAAAAAGACATGCACAGCGGATCAAAAGATGATAGCCATGTCCAGCATGTCTGTGCAGTGGTGCTCATTCATATAGCACAGTGTTCTACAGTTTTTTAGATTGGCAAACACTTTCAAGTTCTACAATGTATACTGATGAAGACACAAAGAAGTGAGCACTCTCTGGGTCTGTGTGTGGAAGTGGATTTTCCAAGAGCCACTAAGTTATAGAACTCAAAAAGCCTTTGAAAAACTGAATGCTGTTTTAAAATTATATGTATTTGTATGAGGTGGTGGTGGTGTGTGTGTGTAGGTGCCTGCAGAGGCCAGTGACATCATCAGATCCCCGGAGCTAGAGTTACAGGTGGTCGAGAGCCACCCAAAATGGGTGCTAGGAACCAAACTAGGAACCAAACCAAGCTAAGAACCAAACTAGGTGCTAGGAACCCTGCTCCTCCACAAGGGCAGAGGTGCTCTGAACTGCTGAGTCACTTCTCCAACCTCAGCATAGATTCATAATGTCTTACTTCAGCAACTAGTCTTGGAATTTGTCCTATACAGGTGTTTATATGGGCTACAAAGGGTTGAAGTACACAGATATTTTTTACATTGTGTTTATTAGAGGAAAGGCTGGGGCCACAACAAGATGGCTCACAGGGTAAAGACATCTGTTGCCAAGACAACTTCAGTTTAATCACTGGATCCCACATGGGATCTACAAATTGTCTTCTGAGTTCCACATATCCAGTATAGCACAAGGGTGTCTGGGTGCACATGTACATACACACACACACACACAAACACACACACATACACAAACACACACACATGCACATGTACACTGAATAAATAAATATGAAATTTCAAAAATGAGAAAAAGATTAGAGGCTAGGCAAATGTCCATCAAGGTGGGAACATTTGGATAAGTCATGATACATACATTTAACAAAATCCTATATGGTTAGTCAAAAGCTGGCAATAGAAATCACTAGTTCTATTACATGTTGGACAGTAAATAAGCACAGAGATGCTAAAAGGCAGTTCAGCAATATTTGTTCTCACTGAAAATATTTCTATACATGTCCTCAGTGGAGTTCTGAACTGAATAACTGTGGAATGCCACGTGGAACACAAAAGAAGGAACAGCTAGGCATGATGTGAGTAAGAGAATAAATCACGCCATACACATGTATGGTAGATACTGCTAAGGAAAGGCCTAGAAGGCCATTTGACTGAAGGGCCTAGAGATCTCCCAGGAGACTAGAGGAAAGCAAGAATGGAGAAGCTGTCTGTACAGCTACAAGGCAAGCAATATACTCCAGCCTCCAGCTAGTGATCTTCAGGCTCTATGCTGCATTCATCCCTCAGCCAAGCACCCCAGGGAGCCCCTAGGCAACAGTGAAGCACACAACCTACAAACGCCAGCCACTTCTGGCCACGGTCTAACTGTCCTAAAGACAGCATATCACACATCTATCTTATGTTCATTTTGAGACAAGTATTAGTTTGTAGCCTGGCTGCCTAGTGCTCGATATAATTGGCAGGCCCCCCTCCCCCGTGCCAAGATTCCAGCCTGAATCATCACACATGTCTTCTCCACTCTCTTTTCTGCCTTCCTATAGTGGCTTCCAAAGGTCTTCAGCAGACACACCTCTGGTTAAAGCTCAAATTCCTAACAGTTCAAAACACTGTATTCCCAGCTCTAGTGTCACGAGGAGCCTCCCTGGTCTGCAGATGCATTTCCTAAGCATCCAGGCACATTACTCCCCCTAACCCTTAAGCTTGTCAAACTGTCTTATGCATGCTTTCCTCCTGGAATAGCAGAGTCAGCCCCTTCTGACTGTCTTATGCACTGTGCCACCAAGCAGCTTGGCTTCTTTCTTTTTTCTTTCTGACTCTGCTTTCATCAGTTTAGATCAGCTGTTCTGTAAACTGAAGCGGAATGATCACTTGAGTCCATCACTTTGGTACCAGTGTGGGCAGGATACCAAATATTCCATCACAAACCAACCAACTTAAAAATGCATCTAGGAATTGGCATGGTAACATAGATTTATAATGCTGACACTCAAGAACGGGGCATGGGGATTGATTTGAGGCCAGCCTAGTCTACACAAAGACAACCTTATTTCAAAAAGTGGTAACATTTTATTTTGAGACAGGTGTTACACCATGTTGTCCAGGCTGGCCTTGAACTTAAGAGGCATGGCGGGGTAGGCACTGTGCACATGCTCCATGAATGAAGGGCTATATAACTTTTACCCACTGAGATTCTTGTGAATCCCCAGCACTGAGTGCAAGGTGTGAATTAAACAGAAGAGTGAAAATAAAGGGGAGCTCTCACCGCCCAGCTTCAGCAGGGGGTGGAGGTAGAGCAAGCTCAGTGGGATGCAAGGGTTTCTTTGGTGGGTGCAAGGTTCTGAGACTTAACCAGGCATGGCCGCTTCTTAGGTGTGAGAGGGGCTTTTGTGCCGCAACTATGTTGGTGTTAGGGGGTGGTGTGGAAATTGTTAATCTTGTATAAAGCAACTCAATAAATTGTTTTGAGGTTTCCAAAAAAAAAAAAGAAAGGGGAGCTAAGGTCTCAGGGAGGACATGCAAATATAACCAGAAAGCAAAGGATGGAGGGCAGGTTTGAATTTGTGTTGGTGGCATCTGCTCTCCTTATATTGTCACTAATTGTCTCAAGCAGCTCTGTGGGGAAGATTTCCAGTCTACAGAGCATAGAGATGATTTATAAAAGCTTGCTCATGTTGCCTAGCCAGGTAGTGAGGTGATCAAAATAGGCTTTGAGATCTCTCTGTCACTAAGCCTTTCTTTTGCCTGCCAGGCTGGCTATCTCCCTCTGAGCTCAGCTCTTATGAGCACCAGGAAAGGATGGAGGAATCAACAAAAAGAACTTCTCTTTCCCATCTAGGGAGCAGAGGCAAAGAGAAGGGCCATAGAACAGACCACAAGGACCTGGGCTCACCACTCAATCTCCTCAGGCTCTCGGTCCCTCAGGAGCTCCCGCACCTCCTGCCGGCAGCGCTCCTGGTATTCTGGGTGCTTCGCCAGGTTGTATAGGATCCAGGAGAGTGCACTGGCTGTGGTGTCATGACCTAGGGGATAGACAAGAACGCTTGTGTCTCTGGGCTGCTTCAGCATCACAAGCTAGACAATGAGGTCCCCAAGAAGAATGAGGAAAGGATGGATGAATGGAATGGAGATATCCTGTGTGTCCCTCAACAGCTGAGCCTGGGACTAATAGTTACCCACCTTTTGTTAGCCCTACACAGGGACCCTCACCTCCAAACATGAAGGTGTCAGCCTCTGCTCGGATGTCCTCATCTGACAGCCCCTTACCATGTTCATCCTGTACACAAAGCAAGACCACAACTCATACAGTGTCTGAGCACTCCTGAGTATGTCTTTTGACAAGTTCTGACAACTACTGCACACTCAGGGTCCCCCTATATTATCCTCAGAGCCTGCCTCACAGTTTTCTCCTTGTTTTTCTGCTGTTCTTTGCTTCTTCTGCATAGCATTCAGCAGAGCCACCTCTAAGACTTATCTCTAACCTGAAACTCCAGTTTACAATCACTGACTACACCTCGTTAGAACTCTTTAGATCAAGTTCAACTTCTACCTAATGTTGAACACTGAGATCCATGCAACTTAGATCCTAGGAAAACCCACCTTGGCCAGCAAGAGAACATCAATAAAGTCTAAAGTTTTAGTCTTAGCCTTGGCCTTTAGGAATTCATCAGCACCCTGGGTATTGAGGGTGCTGCGTCTCTCCCTGATGACAGCATCTGTGAAGTTGTGCACTAGGTCACAGGCCTTGTGGAAGCGCCGCCCGTCAGCAGTGAGGTAGTACAGGAAGTCCACATACAGGAAGGGCTGGCGGTGCCGTTTTACTATGAGGGAGCTGAGCTCCAGGATCGCAGCAATGTATTCGCTGTTAGACCTGTGGGCAGGCCAGAGAGAAAGCAGAGTCTTAGACACATGAAACCCCAGAACACCCCCAGGCAGAGACACAGGACTGAGACACTGCACCTATCAAAAGTGCCCTCCAAGAGTACTTCTCTCTGGCTCTCACTCCTTATGAAGCCCATGTCCCCAATTCCAGGTGGACATGGGCATTGTTCTCATCTTTCTTTCACCCAACATCTGGTTCTGCGGCTTTTCCTTGATTTGTTGCAGATGTGCCTTATTTTCGCCCCTGTGCTCAGCTCTTTCCCTCTAATCCAATGTTGTATATCTACCTGACTGTCAGTCCTCTAAAGAGTTGATATCCAAATTCAACTGTGACTTGAACTCTCATCTTCTTCGTTACCTATGGCTGCCTGGGAAACTCAAGAGGAAGTCCACATCCTTCTGGCTGATTGTTCAACACCCTTAACATCTACTTGCCAGCTGGACATGGTGTTCATGCTACAAACTCAACACTTAGAAAAAGAACAAAGGAGGAGGATTGATTGTGAACCTCCAAGCCTACCTGAGCTATATATAGTAAGACCCTTTCTAAAACTGAAAAGTTCCACAGTTGTGTTTTGTCTTGTTTTTATTTTTATAGGTTTCTCTTTAGCCCTCACTATCCTGGAACTCACTTTATAGACCAGGTTGGCCTTGAACTCAGAGATTTGCATGCCTCCTGAGTGCTGAGGAATTAAAGGTGAGTACTATCACTACCTGGCAATGCTTAATATTTTTAAATACATTTCTTTCACTTTTGATCATATCTTTCCCTTCCTCTAATTACTTCTTGAACCTCCCTACTCACCCAGCTTTATGTTTTTTCTCTTAAAAAAAAATCTCAAATGAAACCAAAGGACACATAGGCACAAAAATAGAGTCCTACTTATGCTGACCTACTACAGCAAAGCCTTGCCTTGGAGTGTGGTAGATATACCCAGTGTCATGCCATTGAAGAAAACTGATTTTTCCCTTTCCCAGAAGATACCAATTGAAATAGCTCTTTGGCTATGTTTGGGACTACATGTTCACATCCCCTTCTTCTACTGGGATTAGTAACAGTCAGTCTTGGTTATCATCTTGATTGGCTCACGACACACCTAGGAGTTTAGTGAGGCATACATCTGTTTGTGTCTGTACGGTTATTTCAGAGAAGACAGTCTGAGTGAGTAGAGGCCTACCAGGCATATGGTTCGCCATATTCCACTGGGTGTGGATTCCCATGGACAACATGGGAAGGAGGTAAAAGGTTGGTTGCAAGCACAGGCAACTTTTACTCCTTTGTCATTATGGTGGAGGCGCCCTACCACACCCTTCCCTACAAGGAAGGACTGAAACCTCTGACACCAGGAGATCAATCTCTTTTCCCTTAAGCTGTTTTGGTCAGATACTTTGTCTCAACATGAAAAACAAAAATAAAAACAAAAACAAAACCTCAAAAAACTAACAGCCACCTCAATCTCATTTCCAAGACATCATCCAAACTGCCTGTTAATGACACTACTCATCTACAGTTCCCAGAATCCACCTCCCAGGAAGGACCACTCTTTCTCCTCTCATTGTCCTTAGCTGTCTGTTATAGCCCACCTGTTCTCCTGGTCAGTCACAGTCTCCCCCACCTCTTCCCATGGTCCAGGGCTCAGGTTCCCAGGTAAAGACAGAGAGAGACTCACTCCTGACAGTTGCTGTCGACGCTGAAGATGCACTTCTGCAGACTGTTCAAGGTCATCAGGCTGATGTGTTCAAACATGTCTAGATGGGCAGTACCCTTGGTGGTCAGACGCTGCCACTTGGCCTGGCCAGAGAAGTGGTGTGAGATTGGGCTGATTCTGGTCTTCTTTGCACCACTGCATAACTCCAAACACCAGAACAGTCTCCTATGCTGCTCAGAGCCAGCCTTCTGGTGCTCTGTCCCAAGCACTGCAGTCGATGTGGGTGAGCACAAAAGTGTTATCGTAGGAGTCTAACATGCAAGGCGGGGAGGCAGGAGCCCTGGATTCAAGTCTGCCTTCTGTGTACCTTTGTTTAGCTCACTGCCTTCTCTCAGTCTCACCTCTTAAACTTTTTTTTTTTTTTGGTTTTTCAAGACAGGGTTTCTCTGTGTAGCCCTGGCTGTCCTGGAACTCACTCTGTAGACCAGGTTGGCCTCAAACTCAGAAATCCACCTGCCTCTGCCTCCCAAGTGCTGGGATTAAAGGTGTGCGCCACCACTGCCCGGCTTTAAACCTTTAGTAATAACTAAATTGCCCTGATGTTTTTTCTCACAACCATACTTAAATATTTGCTTCACTACTATACTTCCTTACTACTGGTGAATTCTGAAATGCTCCCTGAACTCTGTGGCCCTCAGTTTCACAATCCAGATAATCTAGAAGACATAGTCATCTCTATCTTAGAGCACTGTAGAAATTATATCAGACAACTTATATCACAGAATCATCATGATATTTCCGTCTATAGTAGTGGGTCAATACATGTCTGTTGTCTTTACCATCCTTGTTAGCATTGTGATATGTAGCTTCAGAAATGGCTCAGTTTTTCATAATTCCTCTATCCTCAGCCTTCTCAATGAACACTTGCGGCTCTCTCCATTGGGAGGTGGGCCTGTTTCTCCATGGCTTGAATCTGAGCTGAACTAGAGACTTATTTGTTCTGACCTAAGGACTATAGACATAATGGTGTGCTATTTCTGAAGCTAAGCTTGGAAAGTGCAAGTTTTTCTGCACTTTCTCTCCTCCTCTCTCCCTCCCTCTGTCCCTCCCTCTGTCCCTCCCTCCCTCCCCCCCCCCCCCCAGAACCCAGTCTCTCTATGTTAGGAAACCTAGACTTTCTCAAGAAAGATAAAAAGCCAGGATGGATCTAGCTGGCCCATCAAAGCCAGTGATGTTATTCTTTTCTTTTTAAAAAAACTTCTTTTCTTAGCTTGTCATGGTGTTGCATGCCTTTAATCTCATCAGGGACAGGTGGATCTCTCTGGGTTGGAGGCCAGCCTGGTCTATATAATCACTGTGTCATAGTGAGTTCCAGGAAAAAAAGTAAAACAACAACAACAACAACAACAACAACAACAACAAAACCCCCTTTCTTTTGTTTTAATGGTGGAATAGGAGCCAGGGCTTGTGCATGCTAAGCAGGCTCTCTAGCACCAAGCTACCCCTGAGACTTTGTTTGAGACAGGGTCTTGTTGTGTAGACATAAACTCACTGTACTCCTGCTTTATCCACCAAGTGCTGGGATCAAAGGTACCACTCCCCATGCAGAGCTTAAGGCCAATGAGTTTAAAGTGCTGTGGTGTGTAGACAGCTACTGTGAAGCAGACAACATTAATGTGTGCTGACTTTCCAAAGCTTCTGTGACCAAGAATAGAAACAGATCCTTCTGAGCCCCCTCTGTATGCTAGGAGCATGACCTCACAGTGGCATCTCTTCTACGCTTTAAGTATAGATTAATATTCCCACTTTACAGATAGAAAACTCCTGGGCTGTGGTGGTGCATGGCTTTAATACTAGCACTTGGGAGGCAGAAGCAGGCAGATCTCTGAGTTTGAGACCAACCTGATCTACAAAGCAAGTTCCAGGACAGCCAGAACTACACAGAAAAACTCTGCCTCAAAAAAAAAAAAGTGAAAGAAAGAAAGAAAGAAAGGAAGATAGATAGATAGATAGATAGATAGATAGATAGATAGATAGATAAATAAAGCAAACAAAACTAAGCCTTGGAGAGGAAAACTTGTGGTACCAAAGGCATCTTAGCAGACCCACACCTACAGATTACATCTGAAACCACATTACTTTCTACAAGGTTCCAGTGGGGCCTGTGTTCCAGAAACTCACGTGCATGATGTTCACACTCTGGTTAAAAATCTTCACATAGGGCTTCAGGATGTCAAAATGGAAGGCAGGTGTCAGCAGGCATCGGTGGTGACTCCACTTCTCACCAGCACTCACCAATAGCCCATCCCCTGGGAGGGCAGTGATGGCAGTGGGCAAGGGTAGCACCTTCCCCTGGTCCAAAAGGGTATCTCCTGCCCCTGATCTTGGTACTCACCCAGCCAGGGCTTCAGGAAGCCGTAGAGAGTCATTTCCTTGGGTGCAACAGCAGCTGACACACAGGACAATTGGAAGCCATGGAAAAGGCAGGCAATGGACTTCAGGATGGGTAGGGATGGGTAGGTACCCTCAGCCAGGGTTTTGCACTTCCCCCTTCAAACCCAGCATGACAAGAAGGGGAGAAGAACATAGAAAGCAGGGATAAGCAGGGAAACTGAAAGGGACCAGACCGGGCTGCAGCAGCAGGTAGAGCAAAGGTCAGATCGACATGGCACACATGCCCCATCATGCCTTTGTGTGGATCCTACTTTGTCTAACACATCTTCCACATTTGAAACCAGCACGACACTCTACAGACCTTCCCAGAGACCTAGGACATAGCGTCTATTGCAAGTCTCTGATCTCACCTGACACATCCTGGGACATATGACGTGTCCTGTCATGGACACAACACACATGGTGTTCCTTGACATGCCCCAAAATAATCTATCATGGACGTTTGGCAATCTGGCATGATCAAATTGTGCCCTTCAGATAATTAATTAATTAATCCAATTAATGTCCCAAATGTGATATAGATATATCCCAGACATTTCCTATCTCCTGTCACACACAGCAGCATTCTGGCAAGATGGAGATTTCTTGAGTGAAGAGCTGGAGGCTGAGGAAAGCACATGACATGTCCATCATTCGTTGTTCCAAACTGTTTAAATGTTGGAACTCCAAGCAGGAGGATTTTGGAGGAAGAGGATGTGCAGAGAGTCACAAGGGGAAGCTTCACTATAGCCTAGATGGGTACAGTTGTCTCATTGACCCTGGGGCTGGAGGGAGCAGTAGCAGATCTAATTGGTGTTCACAAGCGGGCAGCATTTGAGGTTGGGGAGTTCTTGGCCCTCAGCACTTGACACATCTGCTGTACAATAATGGAGGAGCATAGCATGTGGTAAGGAGAGTAGTATCAATACCATGGACCTCAGGGATGAGGTTGACTACGTGGCCACAGGTAAAAGACTGAGCTCTGGGATGGCAGCCTTTTGTTCCTCCATCACCATCTCCCCTGCGCACCCCTCCCACTACAGATGTGCTGGTTGGAGCTGAGATATAAGGCAGTTGTTGATTTAGAATAAACTCTGCCTTTTCAGATTACAGGCTCTCTGAATAAAGCACAACTTAAAGATTAAATTATAATTTCCGGTCATTGGCATTCTCGATGACAGGCAGTATGAATCTCTGTATTCCGGTTAGCTCTCTGGTACCTCTGCTTGAATGTCTTTCGGACTCTCCAGATAGTCACTGACTTACCAAGGAGTCTCAAAGACTGCCTAGACCTGGGATCCTACACTCACTTGAAGACTTTCACTGTCCCAGCTACTGACACTTCTTGTCACTTTCTATAGTAACTTGAAGTTCTACACTTCCAGCTTTGTTCCTGGGTTACAACTTGTTTGGCTTCTGGATATTTTCCCCCCTTTGGTTGGATGGTTGATTGATTTTTGGAGACATGGTTTCTCTGTGTAACCTTGGCTGTCCTGGGACTCTGTAGGCTAGGCTGGCCTTGAGTTCAAAGATCTGCCTGCCTCTGCATCCTGAGAGCTAGAATTAAAGGTGTGTGCCACCATTGTCCAGCTTGGCTTCTGCTTTCAAAGTGTGTTATAGTGCAGTTTTTTCTTTCTTCTGGATTATGGCACACGAGGCATCTGGTTAAAGGTACTGTTATGTTGTTTTGAGCTAGTTCACAATTGTGTCTGTTATAACGGTATAATGGGTGTAATACACTCCTGGTGACCACCACTTAGAGAGAAATACCCTGACAAGTGTCCTGATTAAGTTTACTATCTGATAAGAAAAAGAAAATGATATATTACTATAAAAGTTTTGGCCACTGTATGTATGGGATTATGTGGGTGTGGTTGTGGAAGCCATTAGATGTTTCTCTAATTATCATACTATTTTAAAATTATGGTTTTTTAGCCAATGATCTGAAAACTAGGGAAAGATATTACTTTAAGTATCCTACCTTCTTTCCATTTAAGAGTGCACTACAACTCTGAATTAATGGACTTGTTTTAAAATTTTATTTTCTTTATTTTTATTATGTGTGTGTGAGAGAGGGAGGAGGGGGGGAGAGAGAGAGAGAGAGAGAGAGAGAGAGAGAGAGAGAGAGAGAGAGCACATGCATATGCCATGGTAGTCATGTGGATATCAGAGGACAAGTTTGTATAGTCACTTCTGTCACTTTCTTCTTAGTGGGCTCCAGAGATTGAACTAAGTCATTAGGCTTGTCCCATAAGTGCTTCTAGTCACCAAGCCATCTCACCAATTCTAATGTACTTTTTTAGGTATCATTATGTATCTATAACAGTCTGCAACAAAATTTCATCTGTCCTTAAAGATCTTGACTATGAATGAATGGTAGATTTACAGTCTCTAGCTTTTAATTATTTGGTAAAGAGCCAGATATTTGCTCTCTCCCACAGTTTTCAGGGTAACAGAAGTCTTTTGTAGCTCCTACCATAACTATAGGGTGGGCATAAAGAATTTGGTTCCCTCTCTTATGTCTTCTTGTTTATACACTATTGTTCCCTATGAAAGATCATTGAAGGCTTTGTTAGATTGCCAGCCTTAGCTGGAATGTAATTCTGTGACCCTCAGACATTAGTGAAACAAAGAAAAACATCTGTAAAACAGAATTAGAAAAAAAATCTAAACAGCAATTAAGTCTGTTTCAGTCTTGCACAGACAGTTCAGTAAAATGTGGGTGAGCAATATTAATTATATTATGACATAAATGATTTAACTTTGATGGAATACTATCTTTTTATATATATATATAATTTTTGTGTGTGTGTGTGAGTACACTGTTGCTGTCTTCGACACACCAGAAGAGCATCAGATCCCACTACAGGTGGTTGTGAATCACCATGTGGTAGCTGGGAATCGAACTTAGAACCTCTAGGAGAACAGTCAGTGCTCTTAACTGCTGAGTCATCTCTCTAGCCCTAGAATTTATTCATCAGCCTTCTTAAGAGACTGATAAATTTGTTATATTGCAGGGTCTCATGATATCAAGAAATAAAGCCCAAATAAACGTTCATACATATAAAATACAAGTTTAGTGGGAGAGAGAAATGTAAGATCTGAGCAAGTCACATAGGAGTTGTAGAAAAGAGTATTGGTTTTTTTTGCTTTTTGTTTTTTTTGTTGTTGTTGTTTTTAATTCGTTATTTTGTTTTTCAAGACAGAGTTTCTCTGTATAGCTTGGCTCTCCTGAAATTCACTTCATGGACCAGGCTGGCCTGGAACTCAGATATCTGCCTGCCTCTGTCTCCTGAGTAAAGGCAAGTGCCACCACTTCCAGAGTGAAAAGATTCTTCTTTAAAGATAGAAATTATGATGATTGAAGGTAATTAAAATTCCTGAAGTCAAAATTTAGTAGGCTAATGTATAACTCAAATCTAGTTCTCTGGTTAAATCAATGAGGTTATCTTAAGATATTGATTTGATCTTGGTAACATTTACAAAATCAACTTAAAAAATAAAAATTTATGTTTAACAAAGGAAAGGCATGCTTTCTGTTAACTTTGTCAGCCTTTTAACTACTTAAAAAACAGAGTCCTGACAAACTCAAGGTTTATTTAAGGATCTATTTACAACTTGTTTTTTGAAAAAAAGATTATTTGCTGCTATTTTTTTAAAGATTTATTTATTTATTATATATGAATACACTGTAGCTGTCTTCAGACACACCAGTAGACGACATCAGATCTCATTACAGATGGTTGTGAGCCACCATGTGGTTGCTGGGATTTGAACTCAGGACCTCTGGAAGAGCAGTCAGTGCTCCCAACCACTGAGCCATCTCTCCAGCCCATTTGCTGCTATTTTTACTTGTGTGCATTTGTGTGCCACATGTGTTCAGATGTTCATAGAGGCCAGAAGAAGGCATCAGATCCTTTGGATCTGGAGTTATGGGTGATTGTGAGCTGCCTGATGTGGGTACTGGGAACTGAACTCGGGTCCTCTGCAGGAGCAGTGAGTGCTCTTCACCACTGAGCCAGCTCCCAGCCCCCTCTTCAACTTTATAAGTAAGTTTATTGTAAGATGGTTCCAGTTGCTGGTTTTATTTTGCTAATTGCTGTGCGTGTTGCCAAACTCTACCCAGCGCTATTCTAATTCCTTTGTTTGCCGCAGTTCTAGCCTTCCCTATACAATTTATAATCAGGGGCTGGGGTGGAATTCAGATTATAAACTGTTTGCCTAGGAGGAGGAGGAGGAGGAAGAGGAGGAAGAGGAGGAGGAGGAAGAGGAGGAGGAGGAAGAGAAGACGATGACCATCCTCCCAGCAGCTCCTCAGATGGGCAGAGACGTTGTGTCCACATTCCCTATCCATGCTTGGATTTGGTTTGACTTGAGCTTGCACAGGCGTTTTGTATGCTGTCACAAATGTTCTGAGTTCATATGTGCAAAAGCTCCTCTGTGTCTGAAAAACCAGTATTTTCTCAGTCACCCACTGCCTCTGGCTCTTACACTCAGTGGTAACAGACTCATGCCTCTGGAACCATAAGCCCCAATTAAACCTTTCTTTCTGTAAGTGATCATAATGTTTTATAACAATAGAAGAGTAACTAATCACACATGTTAAACTAGTGCCTTCTCAGGTCACAAGTTATCTGAATGAAATGCAACTTGTAGATGCAACGTGTCTGTAGCCGGCATTTGCAGTGATGGACAGAATTAGCTTCAGGATTCAAGCCACGTATTAATGGCCATGGAGTCTGCTTCTACCTTTCTATTTTCTTGGATCAAGCACCTCACACCTTCCCATTCTCAATCCCATTACTTGAAAAGGTGGCCAGGCCACATGAACCTCAGTGATTAAGCCACAGTGATTAGCGGAAGTACCCAGTCCTCTCACGAAACTCAAACCAAATTTAAAGGGACCCTAGAATATTTCCCAAGACTACATGGACTTTTCTGAGGACACTGAGCTTCTAGAAGTCATCTTTTACAGCATCAAAGTGAAACCAGCACAAAGAAAAAAGAAACAGAACTAAGAAGCCAAGGTTCCTGCTGCCATTATTTACAACATTTCTTCACTTGCGCTTGGAGACCTCCTTCCCTGACCTCAATAACAATAGACCCCTTTATATTGTTTTCAGTGCTATGTATGTATATGGCAGGCAAGTGCTCTATTTCTGAGCTACACGCCAGACAATAGATTAGATTAGATTGGGCTTCCTTCTCTCACAACCCAAACAGACCTCAGCACTATGGAACACCTAAGACATTGTCCAGCATCATCCAGAAGATTGGAGACAGAGGCATACCATCTGTTCCATACAGCTTCATCCCCTGCTCAGCTTGGTCTGTGTAGGCATGAGAAGGACTAAGAGAAGAAGCAGGGAAGAGAGCAGTGCTTGAGAGATACCTGAGGCTTGGAGCAGGGGAGCAATGAAGTTAGGGTGGACGAGTCTCAGGATTGGGTACACAGGTCCAACCCAAGAGAGGTGGACATCACGGAAGTAGTGGCCCAGATGTGCTATGAACTGCATGCCTTCCTCGTTGTTCTTCATCTAGGAAAGGAGAAATCTGCTGCTAGCCCCGGAAAGATGTCCTCCCACTCTGCCAGGCCCTCCCCTCCTCTCCCACCCCTTCTACTTGATCAGTAATCTATGGTTCTTGGCGAGCCACAGCCGGGCCATTCAGAGGTGTCCCTTACTGTACTTGTATTTCTATCTACATGCCTCTCATTCTCTTCATCTGTGTGTTTCTTACCTTAAACAGTGGTTTGATGAATAAATAAGAAAATATACACAAATGATTTGTAGGTGTGACATTTGATAGACAACGTAGATAGATGATACAGAGATGTAGGATAGGCAATGATAAAGGGCTAAAACATATTAGCTAGAACTGAACTTTAGATAATGTATGTGTGGAAAATTTCTGAATGGAGCCCCAAAAGTTTAAGAAACATCCCCAAGAATTGAAACATTGAATTACGTGAAGCTCAAAAGCTCTGGGGAGCAAAAGAAACTATCAACATAGTAGACAGATGCTGAGCAGAACTGATAAAATAACTATCAA